ACGTTATTCTTTCGATTGGTATACTCTGAATAATTCAATTTAAAATACCTAAATGATGAAAATCTACACAGTTCCATACTAGGACGAAACGGCCGTTCAGTGCTTACAGATTTTCATTGATGGTCGAACTTAGATCGACTTGTGATTACAGCAATAAAAATACTGCAATCACCATAAAGTCCCAAGCTGATAAAAATCTAGTTAACGTTTGTTTAAGATTTTTGAAGATGGGTTATTTGTGGTTTAATGCATTAGTAATAAACATGGCCACTGATTGTTTAATGACAATATTTGGTTTTAGGGAAAGAGTCGATCTGTCAGTAGTTTTATAAATTCAGTGGCACTAGTAAGAAAACATTTTGAGTGAAATAGTGATAATTTCGCAAATCACACCTTTTCACTATGATTATATTTCTACATGAGGTTTTTGACAAGTCCGAACACATAACACTTTGACTAAGATAAAAATTTTGTTTTAGCGAGATTATTTTTACTAAATGTAATATATCATGCGAATATGAAGTATTCAATACTGTTTTTACTTTTTCACAACCAGATTTGTTCAGTTATTGAGTACGAATGAAAGGTTGCATTACTTATATGTTCTCAGTAGTTTAAAGTATAATCGGTAAATAAGTGTTGAGTTATCACAGCGTAATTTGCATTTAGACGTTTGTAGCAGTTATAAAAATATAATTAACTTGCTTGGGAATATTATTCATGTTATTTCAGATTGTTTATACATCACATTTTCATTTCATTACAGGTTTGAGGTTATGGTTAAAAGATGGATATTTTTCCAAGTGATTATATAATGTAAAATAATAGAAAGTTACCTCGGGGACTAACTGAACGTAGAAATTAAGTAAAGAAGAAATATTGGAGAAAATTTGAGTCAAAATTTTAATTCATTGTAAGAATAATGTCTTTTCTCTATGTAGAAGAGTACGTCATAGGATGTAAAGAAGAGAATCGAGTACGAGGCCTACTTTTTATTCATTATTACTATAAAAATAATGAAATGAAATTGACTATAATCTTGAGGAATATACATAAAGAGTTGATCAATAATTATCAAACTAAACCAGAAATAACTATTTTTTGAAGCAGTAAAGACATGCAATTAATACTTATTCCAAAGTATTTAGTGTATTTTCTTCTTTCAATTCTAAACTAGCAATTTAAAATAGCTTTTTAATCTTTTATAAATTTAATAGGTATGGTTTATTCCGTTATTCAATCCCTGAATTGTTTTCATTTGTTCTATCTTTTAAAGGAGTATGAATGACTTTCTGATGTATTTCTCTTGAATGTCAAATATCAGTTAGTGAATTGCCGTCACCAATTTTGTCAATGTATATACTACCGACATATACATTTCATAATCCACATAATTCTCGTTATTTTGTAAGTTAAATATATCAAATGGAAATTCTTGAAAAGTTGTCTGTTAGTTGGTACATATCGGGAACAGATAGTGGGAATAAGATACTCTAGTATTTATAAATTATGTACTGTTGAATATGGAACTTATTACCATGGAGAAATATTGACATCTAATAAACTATATAACTGTCGACATGAAGGCATATTAATTCCCATAACAAAATTGGAAGTTACAAAACTGAATATTTTCTAGGATGACTGTTAAGTATGTACTGTGTTATAAACTTTATGCTTATTAATTTTGCAACCAACGTATTATGATAACGAAAAATGAATAATGAATAATTACAAAGAAATATATAATAGAAATAGTCATCATTTCGAATATATTCAGGTTTACATAAATTCTATTTGTGATTTGCTTTACTGCTTTTATTTTCCTTTTTCTAGAAATTATTTTGTTCAAATTCACTTAGTGCTGTCTTATTTGTATCTTCCCATTGTTATTTAAGTCCGCAATTGATCAGTTTATTGTTGACATATGTACATCCTGTGCGGATTGCTTTGGTATAGCTTTAAGTCACAAGCTTTTTTAGGCAAACATAGATAGTGGATAGTAGTGGAATAGTAACTATGTTAACAAATAGATAATTGATATTGTGAATAAGATACATCTTATATTTATTCATGTTTTATATTTGTTGTTTACCATTTATTATGATAAGTTAAATATGTTAAAGTTACTTTGGAATATTTCGTATGAACATTTATTGAATTTATGAAATCAAATATCCATACATTTTTTCCCTGTATATATCATAAAGTACATATTGAAAGCAAATTCTATTCTTTTCTGATTTATACTGTTATCAGAAATATACATCATTTACATTTGTTTAATCTAAATACTTGTTGTTAAATGTCATTTCAAAATCTTCATAATCCGATAACGTTAGAATAAGATTTAAACATGTGATCATGGATTCAAGGTTGTCTGATTGAAAAATTTTGATCTTACATGTGTAAATAAATTAGTTTCAAATATTGATACAGTTGATCAGTCACTGATTCAGTTTAGAAAAACAAAAAAAATGGTGAAATCAAAATCTGATCAGGGAATTCTCAATAATATCGTATTATTTTCATGTTAGTCACACTATTCTACGATTGATAAATTCATAAATATCAGGAGGGTTTTTATTGATATTATAGTAAGTTAAATGGTTGGGATCGTGAGTCAATTGAAGATAGACCACTATGGAAAACCTGAGAGCACTGGACGGCCGTTTCGTCCTAGTATGGGACTCCTCCCCAGCTTCACTTGACTCATGATCTCAACCATTGAAATTACTGTAATATCCACAAAATCCCTTCTAATATAAAACAACATATGCTCACTAGTGACTGACTTCAAGAGGTATTTCCTGGAGTTCTAGTGGGAAGCGGTGACCAGTGGAGTTCAACCAGGTCTGTTGTGAGATAGTAACTCACTGAAGACAATGGTGGATGTGTTGCTCAATTTCGTGGGTTAGTTAAAGTTAGACAGTGGTCTAGTAGTTAAGCGCTCGCGCGCGGGACTGATATGTCCTGGGTTCGAATCTCTCAGGGGGGCGGGATCGTGGATGCGTACCACTGAGGAGTCTCATACTGAGACGAAACGGCCGTCCAGTGCTTCCAGGTTTTCCATGGTGGTCTAGCTTTAATTGACTCATGATCTCAACCACTGAGATTTATAAATTTTTAGTATACTAAAGTCTATTTTAAGATTTCTGTCATTCGACCTGACTGACAAAGACACATATTTGTTTTATTACCACTTACATAGATGTTAACAGGTAGAATCAGCACTATTTGATTAAGATGGAAATTATGTGAAATTGAAATTCTGGTCAGCGTGTACAAATACAAATATCTATGAAAGACTAACTGTTTGAAGGTGATATAACTTAGTATGACCGATAAGCTTATTTATGTTCTGATATACGAAAGGATATTGCATAATTTACGAATAGATTTCATGAATGAGATATTTATAGCTTTGTGAGGAAAAAAATTATTTAGATCGTTTTTATTCATATATCAGCTAGAGACCAGAAGAGAAATAAAGTTGTGATTAGTAGACAAGTGTTGTAGTCATTCATTAGAGTGTCGAGATATAAACTTAAAGATTTGCTATACAAGTCTGTCTGCACTTTAGATTTCGGTTTAAATTCACCTTTCATCCTTATAATTCTTAAAATCTTATCAATTACATGTTATGTTTAATATGATGTTGCTTATTCAACTCACTGAAATTAATTAGTGACTAGCTAGTGGTGTATTATTCATGAGAAGTTGAATGAAAATCATTTTATTCAAGTTCATTCCTTGTCCTAATCAACTCATTTGATTCATTAAAATAATAAATACACTTTGTGATATCTGATGTTTCGTGACATAATTTAAGTGATTTCTTCAGAGAATTTAGATAAATAATCAAAACAAACTTAACACAAGTATATATTCTGAAGAAGTCACCTATACGAAATCACGAAACATCAGAAATATAAAGTTCTACTCATTATGGTACTATAAAAATAGTAAATTACCATTTATAGCCTCATAAATTAAAGTTAATTAATATATTTCTGTATCACATATTCAAGTTTTTAAATAATGAACTTTGATTATTAATGCAAAATTCGGCATAATTCCCAAATGAATTTAAATTATTAAATAATCCAATAATTAGTTAGAATAGAAATGAAAATAATTTACATTTTAAAGTTCACTTATAATGAAGTATTAGATAATCCAAAAGAAAATTAACATAAGGTATAATAAGTTTTTCTAATCATGATAATATGGTTAGAAAATCTTACTACTGATTAAATCAAATAATTATTTTAGTAGTATATTCTATCCGGATAATTTTAATCTTAATATATTAAAGTTTGGTTATTATAACTTACTGATTATCATTTGAGAACTCCACTGATATAGAATTTACTTTATATGTTCTGAAGAGTCTCACAATAGGACGAAACGGCCGTCCAGTGTTTTTAGTTTTTCCATGGTGGTCTAGCTTCAATTGACTCATGATCTTAACCATTGAAATTACTATAATATCCACAAAACCCATCTGATATTAATTAGTTGTTTTTTTAGAAGTGTCTTAATGAAATGTACAATGAATAAATAAGTAATTAAATTATCAACTAATATTTTAAAAGCGGTTATTTAAAATGAAAAAAAGTATCAATTTATCAATAGCGAATAGATATAAACTATCATATTAATTCTACTATAAATTTTCTATAGGAATTTCGTTCAAACTATACTAACTAAACAGAAACGATCTACATTATATCTGGATATGATGACCAGTTGAATAAATATTTCGTAACAAGAAAAAGAATCAATCAATATGGCTTATACAACTTATATTTCCTTATTTTCTATTAAGTTACCTAAAACACCCCACTTTTCCAACTATTATTTTTATTGTAATCTTTTTAAGAACTTTTGTCCACCCACTGTCAACAGGGCAGTCTACTTTTCTACTGAAATAAAAATTTCAATAATATAAACTTTTCATATAACATCGAATACTATTGTAAATTTCTTTTACCGTGGGAACATATTTTATTATTATTCTTAATAAAATTTCTTTTTATTATTGAGATATAATCATTAAAAACACTAGTTATAGACTATTATTTTGATCGGATGAAGGTCTGTCCCCAATGATTGCAAACTAGTCGAATCAAGCCATCAAGGTTAAATCACACATGACCTTGAGATTTACCAATCAGAGTACGGAGCCCAATTTTTCTCACCCTTTTATTGTAATATTTGCCTATCAGGTCAAATAGAGAACGTGACAAAATCTCTTTCCGAGAGTGGAGGGGAAATAGATTTTTTTAAAAAAATACTATCGGTGTAAATATCTACAACGTGTTTTTATGATCGAACGATCTACGATTTTATACAAATTTCAAATATTGGGGATTAAATAAAAAATTATGAAAACAATGGGTAAGTCACATTTAGTAAATATTGAGCTTTTATTAAAGGCTTAATTGAAATAGTATTCTCAGAATTTAGGAGTTATTTCTGATAGTGATTGATAAATTACTACTGAGACTGAGATCATTTATGAATTTTTTTGATATTCGGAGAACGTCAACACATGGATGTCTAGATAATAATTGTTGTTAGTTAGATGTACGTGTACAGTGGTTTGTTAGATATATTGTCTTCTATGAGCTTTATGGGTTATTGATAATACCACATTGTCTCATGTTTAATAGTAATAATACTAATCAATAAAATTAGCTACATCACAGTATTAGGTTTTGTTTAGCTGTATTCGCTATTTTAAGTACGATTTCCCTTCCAATCTGGATTAAATACAGATGAACTAATAAGTACTATTTGGTGGTATTAGATTTCGTATAGGAATTCTTTTTTGTAATGAACGTGACAGTAAAGTTAGACTCATTATAAACAATAATGGAAGTATTTTTCTGACCGATATTTCTGTATGTAAATAATTATGAAAGAAAGTTTTTCTTTTCTTTTACTTTGTTGAATGCTAGAATAAAATATCTTATGAATAATTATATAATGATTACTAGAAATTTATTTACATTGAAGAAATGACTTACATTAAATTGCAAAACGTCAGAAATACAATTTTCTACTCAATGAGTTATCTCAAAAATATATTGATGAATAAAACTAATGATAAATGAATGTTGGACCAGAAATTAATTAAAAGATTATGCTTGAATATTCTTTCCTCTTTTATATGAATAAAATGAATTAGTTATTTGATGATATATAAATATCTGGTCAAATCATTTACGGTCACAATCAGTTGTGGTTCGAATAACATAGTACAAACATTACCTATTTTATTAGGTTTCATTCAGTCTACATGTGTTTAGTGCCGAATTCTAATTTACAAAGAATTTATGTTTATAGTTAATTAAAACCGTATTGAATACATGGGGTTTAGATCAAATATACTTTTACCTTGCTAATAAGTATCTTTTTTGTACTTTTTTACCATTCGTAGTTTTTAGTTTGTGAATGAAATATTCGTAACTTGTATAACATGCGACAATTATTAGGTCCCATGCTTTTTTGGGAAAAATATTGTCAGTTTTATGGTTATTTTGATCACTTAATTAAGTGTGACGTGTACAGGAAGCTGATAAATGATTCGTATCAATTAAAATATGTGTAATTTGAATGCAATTGTTTATTTTCCATTAGATCTCATGATGGCAACATTATTAGATTTTACACATGTTTTTATTACACTCTCGTGTTAAGAATGCTTTTATAATTTGCGCAATCAACAAGTCTTCATTAGATTTGAGTAATTTGTAACATTGTTTACATTATTAGATGAATTGTTAATTATTTTCAGTGGGTGATCAGATATATTTAACATATGTACTGCAGTTTGTTTGAAAACTCATCAATTTCCTAGATAACAACAACCATTTCAATGATTCAAATCCCACGAACAAGATCGTGGGTGCGCACTGCTGAGGAGTCCCATAGTAGGACAAAACGGCCGTCTAGTGCTTCCACATTTTAAATGGTGGTCTAACATCAATCGGTTCATGACCTCAATCAAAAAGATTGAATCCATTTTTTTCTTTGAAACTTATACTACAATCTTTATTGTATTTATTTAACTAATATTTACTCGAATAAACAAATGGCATTTATTTATTGAATTTTGACAAGTTTTCTTTAATGATGAAACTATAATGCGTACCAATTTAAATGATTTTCATGCATTTGTATTAAAAAAATACTTGAATTAATGACCGATGAATTTCATATTTCATGATTATCTTGGCAACCATGTAAAATGAAATAAATTATATCGAAAGTTTCCAAATAAATAAACTACATGAGATTTATAATGCTTTTTGTAATGGTTATATAATATACCTTTGTGGGCCAGGGCAATTTTACATTGGTTTTCAGGAGAACCAGACACCATCCGGACGTTCACGTAAAAACCCAAACAGTACAGCTCAACCCCGTTTAGCAGAGGAACCAGACACCGTACAGGCTTTAACGCTACAATCTGAATAGTACAGCTCAATCCTGTGGCGCAACCACACAGGTACCAAGCACCCTGGTGGACCAGAGTGATGAATATGTAGCTGATTTGTCAAGTACAAGTTTATGTACAAGGTGTTAAGCTACATTGTTTGTATGAACACTAGTGATACGAATCAACAACTCAAATTCAGATGGATACAGGTGGGATTCATACCTGAAACCTTTTAAAACCACGTGTTCTAAACACTAAATCACTAGTATGTTATTTATCAACCGCTGTACATAAAATTTCAAGAATAAGCTCATCTATCACGCTGTCACATTTAAACTATGAATCTACACTTATGTTAAATAAATTAGCTTATTTTGATTAGCTAAATGTTTTTACTTACATAAATGTATGATTTGAGGTCATTTGGGTTTTTAAACGTTAACCTTAGCCAAACATCTTGATGTCGCCAGTTTTGTATGAAAGTTAATTGAAAAAGAAAAGCAAACATTTATTGTCACATGTCAAGAGTGGATCAAATGCCAGTGAATAATTTCGCAGTAATATCGAGTAATCTTATACTTTTCTCAAACAATTTATATCAGAGTCTACTTCTTCTACCGAATTTATTACAAATATTATAGTGTAAAAATTTTTATATAACTAAATTCACTTCATTTCATTTTCATTAAATAGAAATAATACGAAAGCTCTTTGCCTAATAAAAAAAAATAAAGAAAAGTGTGGTATACTTTTACAAACAAAAATGAAAGGGGGGTAGCAGTGGAATCCAGGACACGCGTTTCGTCCTACTTCGAACTCGTCATTTGGATGTACGTACATCCCAGAGTTGATGTTCACTCCGAGACTCAAACCCAGTTCGAGTCCGAATAGGAAAAAAACGCGCGTTCTGGATTCCACTACTAGCCACCATCACTCTTTGCTTATAATGCTTGTAACTTAAGGCAATACCGAGATAATCCGTACAGGATACACATATGCTAATAAGAGACTGATCAACTGCAATCCAAAACATCAATGAGAAGATTCAAACAAACATCACAAAGTGATACACTTTACTTAAGCATGCAGATTTATATCATATGAAATCAGTAAAGTTGATTGTAATAGTAAATATGTTTATTCATGTTTAAGATCAGTGAATGGTTGATTATACCTGTTAGGAGTTGAATATAAAACTTTCAGTCACAGTAAAACCAAAGATCACAGGTATATACATTCCAGATAAGATCTTACAAGGGATGGATTAGACTGTCTTATCATCCTGATTTAGGCTGTCACGGAAAAAGAACACGGTATTTTTGATTGTCCGGCTATCCATATTAATAAGTTGTATAAAAGGAGCTGATATAGTGCAACAATAGGTAACTTAGAATGAAATTAGAATATGATCATTGTACATGATATTGAACGATAGATTTGAAGAATTGTAATCATTCATTCAAAGTTGTATACATTAAGTTCAAAGTAATTATTTTCCAATACCGTAGACTCATTATTGTTAGAGGTGAATGGTTTCTACGGATTAAAATCCTTAAATAAGAAAAGGCATTTGGTGGTCCATTTTTACCACTTGTATTATTCATCGATTTTTACAGTTACCTTTTTTAAAGCATTATCACCAAACTCACCAATCGGATAATATTTATAAATCTTTAGATGAATGTTTTATTGATAAAGTTCTTATTACAGAGAAGATATTCAGTTGTCTTTCTATCAGTAAATATAGTAGACATTCATCTATTGATCATAACATAACAGAGATTGAAACTAATTTGTCATTTAATTTAGAAAGGATTTTCTTTTACTGTCGTTGGTTAATTTGGTTTGAACAGATCTATCCATAAGTCGTTAGTATCAACGTCTACATATCTGTCTGTTCCTAAATGCATTTATTTAATTTTTTTAATTTCTATCATTTATTGTGGATATGCTTGGCATAAAATTTGTTGATTACAGATTTCAAGCAAATTTAATTGATCGGTAACTTCAAAGATACGACAAATTTTACTGACTAACTATTACAATAACATAAGAAAGTAATTTGTTCAACTGAATTCTTATTTACAATGTTCGGGGATAAAACAAATATGCTTTACTACACAAAATTTCGCTTCATCTGTAAACACTGTTGTTCGCTCTGAAAGATGTGGTTCATAAGAACTTAGCAAATTGTTTACTAACAATTTTGATTGATGTTCAGTCAAAGTGTTAGGATGTTTTGCTTAGTAACGTGGTATTTTATGTATAATTTATGTATAATATAGTGTTCATATACATTAAATTTGTTCATTGGATTCCAGTATTTTACGGTTCTTTTGTTTAATATGAACTATTGGGTAGATTTATGATAGAGTTTTGTTCTCTGAGATGGATGGTTTGGTCGTGGAGCTTTCATCGTTTTTCTGAACGTTATAATCAGCACAAACTTTGGGTAAAAGTAGGTAGATTTATTTCTACAACAAGCGCGCAGTAATATATTTTGTAAAATGAATTAAAATTTAATCAGTTACCACAACTTTTATTCTCAGTCACAAAGTTGTTGCTTGGACTAAAGTAGACTGAACGTGCTTTAATAATTGAATGAAACCCGGATTATTATTATATTATTCTCACTATTATCATGCTGTAGCTGATTAATAAGTTAAACTTGATGCGGGTGAGTAAAATATTCAGTGAAGGTTTTCTTAAATAATGATCTGTTAATTATTTTAAAACTAGATTATCAACAAGCTGGTATGAAGTTGACAACCTTCTTCCCAAAATACTATACAAAACAGTCGTTTATTTTTTAGGATCCACCGCATATCTAATAAACAACAACTGATATTTGAAACGATCACTACGATTTATTCTGACGCAAAATAAGATGTGATGGTGAGTACGATAATCCTTCAGATCCAGTCATTAATTTATTACATATACAATCAATTCA